GTTTTTGACAAAACAAACTCGAATCGGTATGGATTATCCGTGCACGTGGCGACAACAACAACACCCTGCCCAACAACAGTACAAACAACCTCAAACAACCAATCAATGTGCGGCAAACAAACACGCCTCCTCCTCCTCGTCATCCTCCTCCTCACATGATGTCACGCTCGATAGGATCCGCTACAAGGAAGGGGAAGATGTTGTCCCACCCGCTGGGGGCAACGCGCCACACACAACCAACTGCTTCCGCAGAACTCGATACTGCTTCGTGCCTACCCTCTTTTCTCTCGACCCCCCTCGTACCGCAGGAAGCACCTCGACAAGCCAAACAAAGATATCACATTTTCTGTACACACTCTAGACGTTTCTCTGGTGCATCACAAAACTCGGAAAAACGACAAGAAGAACACGAGTGGCCAAAACACAGCCGCCGAACATCACCACCACCAAAACACCACCAACAACGACGAAAATACGACGGGCGGCGATACAGCCGTGCGGTACGCAAAGCGAACTACAACCCCGACGGCAGCGGGGACTACATACAGCCAGTCCGATACATGTAGCAGCAGCATCAGCCAAGCACGCACGCCCCCACCGGAGAAGGTCTCCTCTCCCACACCGCCGCAAACCCATGAGCCGGTCACCGTAACATAGTGATGTCCCACCCACTACCAGCGGATTTTCATGTCCGTAAGCAGAGCCAGCACTGGCGCTTGAGCCAAGCATGCACGTCCCAACCGGAGAAGGTCTCCTCTCCCACACTGCCACAAACCCCGCTACAGAGCGATGCCCCACCCACCACCAGCAGGCTTCCATGTTCGTAAGAACCAGCACTAACGCTTCTGCGCTAGTATCATAGCGCTTCTTGATGAACACGGTATGGATATTCGCACAGGCAGCAGGGAGAGAGGCCCCTGCTCCAAACACGCTACAAATCAGCCCGTCTAACGTGCAAGAGGAAAACGCTTGTTCCGGAACCAACTCAACGCGGGAACCCTACGAGCGAAAACACAGCAGAACAACAACACGGATTCCGCCTTTTCAACATTCTTCGCCTGCTTAAAGGAACCACCGTCTGCTTGCGCTGATTGAAAAAATCTCGTTTTCGTGCACCCCTCGATAGAACACTGCATGCGCTCTACACCGACACCAGAGACACACACCCCGTACAGGAAAAAAGCTCTACCATCCTGTCCCATGGTATCTCTATCTGCTGTGTTGTTTACAGCTTCACGCCGCAAACCCTCCCACGTCCGTTGACCAGGACACGATCGACTCCCCCTCCGTGTGGTCACAGGCCACGGTGGGCTACACCCCAAAAAAGGCAGCGGCAAGTCTGCCGCTGTGCTTGGCATAAGAACGATCCAGAGAACAGTACTCTTTTTTTATGCCCGAACTGCATCAACCATGTGACTGCTACGTTCCCTGATACGAACGGGACACCGCCGAAAGTATCGCGATCGGCGAAGCAGATAGATAGGCGGCCTTTCACCCAAGGCGCTGCCGCCGGTGTTCAACACCGCAAATCACCCCCACAACAAAACACACGTAACGGGTACAGTGCTTCCAACACACCATTTGCATCGGCCAACAGTTACCACGACAGTTGAGGAGCCGTTCTTGGGCACCAACTATACCCGCCCCATGATTGCTACGCATGACATACATACGCCTATTGGCAATGCCTCTGTCGTCTGAAAACGACTACTCGGAGTATTATTTAAGGTCACAGCAGTTGCGCGTTCCACCGACACGGAGGCCAAGAAAAAACAAAAGAGCCAACCTACAGCAGTAGGGGGGCAATCGAACAATCTAGCTAAAATTATCAAAAACCAGCATCACACAATCAAAGCTATGTAGCAAATCAAGCTAGCGAAAATCACATCTAGCGACGGTCCATCAAATCATCAAGCGAGCACCAATCGAACCAAGCAAAAGCCGAGCCAAAAGCTTTGTACAATTGTAGCCGGCCAAGGATGCTTGCTTCCTAGCTCATCAAAGGCTTAGGCACGTCGTACAGCACCGTGTAGTTGAAAACCGCGA